TAAGATCACCCATATGGTGGACCAAGGGAAACCAGCTGATGTGATTTTTTTGGACTTCAGCAAGGCTTTTGACACGGTTTCCCATAGGATCCTACTGGACAAAATGTCCAGCATACAGCTAAATAAAAACATCATACGATGGGTGAGCAATTGGCTAATGGGCAGGGCCCAAAGGGTTATGGTGAATGGCGCTGCGTCAGGCTGGCGGGCGGTCACCAGTGGGGTCCCTCAAGGCTCCATTTTAGGGCCGGTACTTTTCAATATTTTTATAAACGATCTGGATGTAGGAACAGAAGGTATTTTGAGCAAGTTTGCTGATGACACCAAACTTGGAGGAGTTGTGGACTCGAATGAGGGTGGAAAGGCCTTGCAGAGGGATCTGGATAGGTTGGAGAGCTGGGCGATCGCCAACCGCATGAAGTTCAATAAGAGCAAGTGCCGGGTCCTGCACCTGGGACGGGGAAACCCTGGCTGCACGTACAGACTGGGCGATGAGACGCTGGAGAGCAGCCTAGAAGAGAGGGATCTGGGGGTCGTGGTAGACAGCAAGTTGAATATGAGCCAGCAGTGTGCCCTGGCAGCCAGGAGGGCCAACCGTGTCCTGGGGTGCATCAAGCACAGCATCGCTAGTAGGTCGAGGGAGGTGATTGTCCCGCTCTACTCTGCGCTGGTGCGGCCTCACCTCGAGTACTGTGTGCAGTTCTGGGCACCACAGTATAAAAAGGACATGAAACTGTTGGAGAGTGTCCAGAGGAGGGCTACGAAGATGGTGAAAGGCCTGGAGGGGAAGACGTATGAGGAACGGCTGAGGGCACTGGGCCTGTTCAGCCTGGAGAAGAGGAGGCTGAGGGGAGACCTCATCACAGTCTACAACTTCCTCGTAAGGGGGTGTCGAGAGGCAGGAGACCTTTTCTCCATTAACACCAGTGACAGGACCCGCGGGAACGGGGTTAAGCTGAGGCAGGGGAAGTTTAGGCTTGACATAAGGAGGGGGTTCTTCACAGAGAGAGTGGTTGCACACTGGAACAGGCTCCCCAGGGAAGTGGTCACTGCACCGAACCTGACTGAATTTGAGATTGGACTGTACACTTAGTCACATGGTCTGAACTTGGGTAGACCTGTGCGGTGTCAAGAGTTGGACTTGATGATCCTTAAGGGTCCCTTCCAACTCAGGATATTCTATGATTCTATGATTCTATGTATTGCCACTTTGGTTTGTAAATTTGCTACAAAAAATCATCAGTGCTTTCAAGTATGCCATCAAACTGGATAAATAGGAAACCTCTGCTTCAGTCAGCAGTACCACGTCTGAGAGTTCTACAGAGAGAGTTGTATAATCCTGAGAGAAAGAGAGAATTTAGCATTTCGGAAACCTACCCCTGACCACCTTTTTCCTGCACAGTTCAGTTGTTCAGTTGCATAAGTCTATAAGAATGCACTTCAGGTTCAAATACATAAGAACTTTTTTTTTTTTTTTTTTTGGAAAACTTCAATTACATATAATAGTGTTGGCACAAGTGAAGGGAAAACAAATTGTAAAAACTACTTGGAAATGAGCATAACCAGCTTTGGTAAAGAACATGTTTCATGTAACCAGATCTAGGTGCTACGGCACTTGGATGTACACAAGTCGATGTATGCAAGTCGATGGGGCCAGGTCGCTATCAGGGGAGGTCCCAGTCGACTGGCAGCTAGCAAACGTGACACCCATCTACAAGAAGGGCCAGAGGGTAGACCTGGGAAACTATAGGCCTGTCAGTTTGACCTCAGTGCCAGGGAAACTCATGGAGCAGATTATCTTGAGTGTCATCATGCGGCACTTACTGGGCAACCAGGTGATCAGGCCAAGTCAGTATGGGTTTATGAAAGGCAGGTCCTGCTTGATGAACCTGATCTCCTTCTATGACAAAGTGATGCGCTTGGTGGATGAGGGAAAGGCTGTGGATGTGGTCTACCTTGACTTCAGCAAGGCTTTTGACACCATCTCCCACAGCATTCTCCTCAAGAAACTGGCTGCTCATGGCTTGGACTGGCGCACGCTTCGTTGGGTTAAAAACTGGCTGGATAGCCGGGCCCAAAGAGTTGTGGTGAATGGAGTCAAATCCAGCTGGAGGCAGGTCACTAGTGGCATTCCCCAGGGCTTGGTACTAGGGTCAGTCCTCTTTAATATCTTTATCAATGATCTGGATGAGGGGATCGAGTGCACCCTCAGTAAGTTTGCAGATGACACCAAGTTAGGTGCATGTGTCGATCTGCTCGAGGGTAGGAAGGCTCTGCAGGAGGATCTGGATAGGCTGGACCAATGGGCTGAGGTCAACTGCATGAAGTTCAACAAGGCCAAGTGCCGGGTCCTGCACCTGGGATGCAACAACCCCAAGCAGAGCTACAGGCTGAGAGAGGAGTGGTTGGACAGCAGCCATGCAGAGAAGGACCTGGGAGTATTGGTTGACAGTCAGTTGATTATGAGCCAGCAGTGTGCTCAGGTGGCCAAGAAGGCCAACGGCATCCTGGCTTGCATAAGAAACAGTGTTACCAGCAGGGATAGGGAAGTGATCGTCCCCCTGTACTCGGCTCTGGTGAGGGCTCACCTCGAGTACCGTGTTCAGTTTTGGGCCCCTCGCTACAAGAATGACATGGAGGTGCTTGAGCAAGTCCAGAGAAGGACAACGAAGCTGGTGAGGGGCCTGGAGAACAAGTCCTACGAGGAGCGGCTGAGGGAGCTGGGCTTGTTCAGCCTGGAGAAAAAGAGGCTCAGGGGCGACCTTATTGCTCTTTATAAGTACCTTAAAGGAGGCTGTAGAGAGGTGGGGGTTGATCTATTCTCCCAAGTGCCTGGTGACAGGACGAGGGGGAATGGGCTTAAGTTGCGCAAGGGGAGTTTAAGGTTGAATGTTAGGAAGAACTTCTTTACTGAGAAGGTTGTGAGGCATTGGAATGGGCTGCCCAGGGAAGTGGTGGAGTCACCATCCCTGGAGATCTTTAAAAGGCGTTTAGATGTTGAACTTAGCGATATGGTTTAGTGGAGGACTTGTTAGTGTTAGGTCAGAGGTTGGACTCGATGATCTTGAGGTCTCTTCCTATCTAGACCATTCTGTGATTCTGTGATCAGATAGTCAGAAGTCTCTCATTTAGTCAGATGATTAAGACTAGGCCTCTCCCCAGAGCAAGTTTTTCAATTACAGCCAGTGAGTACAGACTGTGGAAATCCTGTTTATCCCATCAAACACCTGGATTCCTTTTTGTGGTCAGAGTGCTGAAAGCATTAATTTTTCTCCAGCTGGTTGATGGCAAATAGTAATACACACATGCCAAAGCTGGCACACTGTACTGCCAGTCATCAGGTTGTATGCTTGTTGTACGGCCATGAAGTGGTGCTGGATTTCACAGAATCACAGAATCATGCTTCAATGTCATCTAAATTTTATAACCAGTTCTTCAGCTCCACAGGCCAGATTTTAGAAATAAATTGTTGTGATCTACTATAGTGGGTTTATGTGGCAAGGTTTTGGTAGTGGTGGGCCATAGGATTATTCTGCAAGAAGAATCCAGAAGCCGCCCCACGTTAGGTAAGGGACCCACTGCTGATCAGAGCTGAGCCAATTAAGTGATGTTGTTTGCACCTCTGTGAGGACATGTTTAAGAAAGGGAATAAAAAACCTGCTGCTACACAACAGCTGGGAGAGAGAGAGGAGTGAGAAACAGCCCTGCAGCCCCCAGTGTGAGTGCAACAAGATGGCAGGAGGTGCTCCAGGCACGCAGCACAAGTTCCCCTGCAGCCTGTGGAAAGACCCCTGGTGGAGCAGGCTGTCCCCCTGCAGCCCATGGGTCCCACATGGAGCAGATCTCCACGCTGCAGCCCCCCCATGGGTGGAGGAGCCCCCAGTGGAGCAGGTGGATGTGGCCTGGAGGAGGCTGCAGCCCATGGAGAGCCCCCACAGGAGCAGGCCCCGGGCCGGAGCTGCAGCCCGTGAAGAGGAGCCCACGCAGGAGCAGGGGGTCTGGGGGGAGCTGTCACCCACCCGTGCTGGAGCAGTTTGCTCCCGGGGGATGGACCCTGTGGTACGGAGGTGTGTTGGAGCAGTTCTTGAAGAGCTTCAGCCTGTGGGCAGCCCCCGCAGGCTCAGTTTGGGAAGGACGGCATCCTGTGGAGGGGACACCACATGGAGCAGGGGCAGAGTGGCTGAGAAGGAGCAGCAGAGACAAAGTGCTATGAACTGACCCAGCCCCTACTCCCTGTCCCCTGCACCACTCAGGGGGAGGAGGTGGAAAAGGGTGGATGGGGGAAAGTGGTTTTGATTTCTTTCCTTTGTTTTTCACTTCTCTAGCTTGTTAGTAATAGGCTATAAATCTTACTGTCTCCCTACTCTGAGTCTGTTTTGCACATCATGATAATTGTTGAGTGACGTCCACGTCCTTGTCTCAACCCTTGAGCCCTTTTCATTGTATTTTCTCCCCCTTTCCTTTTCAGGAGGGGGAGTGAGAGAACAGCTGTGGTTGAGCTTGGCTGCCCACCTGTGTAAAACCACCATATCTTCTGAGGAAGAGGTTAATGTAGAAACTACAAGCCTTCTTTGACTGATGGTTCTCACCCTGGTCTTTACATATGATCTGGCCCCACTTATGTGCTTTTCTCATGCACTGTGAAAATGACCTTCCACAACAACTGTCAGGGGTAACTCATACAAGAAATGCCCTCACACAAAACATATAGCAAAATAACAAATTAATAACCAACAAATAAACATTTAAACAATAAAGGTCCAGTTCTCAAACTTCAAGAGTTTGCTCTAGTACAAAGGTACAAAAAATCTGGCTTAAGAATCTATGCAAACACATGTTAAGTAGACATGGAGACCTAATTCAGCACTTAGCGAATGATGATATTACTCTCCTGCAGTTTTGAACATGACATGGATTTCCCTCAAAATGATGAGTATCTGCTAGGGTCTTTAGGCTGGATGTGGATCTCACAGTTTGCCTTTTTCTTGCTGTGCTTTCAGGTTTGCTGTCTCTACTTCTGCTCTCAAGTCACAGGGAAGGATTTTCAAGAAGGCACTTGAATGTACTTGAAGGTAAGCTTAAATTTAAAATTTAAGCCTTCTTTCTAGAATTGCAGTCTTAGACTGGCTTTCATGAGTCTGTGAAGTAAGGATGGGATTTATGTTCTATAATTTTAGCCACTTAACCACTTTTAAGGCTCTCTTTTTATTTCATCAAGGTATTTCCAGGGAGCTTCCTTCTTGTCTGAGAATACATGACTGTGACAGATACATTACTCTCCAGGTATGTTGTTCTCTCCATTTGCAACTTAAAGCATGATGATAACTATTCTACACTACGTGAGTCTTAAGTTTTTGATGGATAAAATTAGGTGAGATCAAACCAACCACAAACACGTGATCTAAAACACTTTAAAGTTGGTAGGGAGTTTTCTATGGACTGCACAAGGCTTTGGATCATCCCCTTGGAAACACTCAGAAACCTGCATTTGAACTCTGCATGATCTTGGGTTAAAAATTGCCAGAGTGATTCAAAAGGTTCCAAAAGGAAAATACTATTTTGTGAAGCACTTATAATAAGGTTTGTCCTTGCATCTAACCTTCCCAGCTTCATTTACCTGTCCTATTATAGGTTGTTTGACTAACTTTTATCAGGTATCGCATTTTGTGTGCATATTGTTCCTGGTGTTTGTTTGTCTGTTTAATGTCCCCTAAAACCTTTATAAAATCAGGTTGTTGCATCTCACGAGGCTGAGAAAATACATGACCAGTGAAGAGACATCATTGTAATACAGAAGGTTGCATTTTGTTTATTGGTTTGCTTTTAAAACATCTTTGTGTTTTGTTGAGGGTCAGAGGCATATCTGGATATTAGACGATGTGCCATTAGATGATGGCAACATGCCTTGCCCTTTGGTTTGCTGAGCTGGGACTTACTATTGCTCTGCTTTGTTACTTACTATTGTATCTTAGGCTGTAAACTCTTCAGGAAGAATAGGTTTTATATATTTATATATATATTTGACAGTAAAACATTTGCAGTGCAGTATCTTTGTACAGGCTGAGGGCACATTATGTTATTATCTATAAATAAAAATAATAAATCTAAGGCAATAATAATGTTATTACAGGGTAATTTATCTACAAATAGGATAATACTTTTTTCCTAGTATCTAACTTTAATCCTGCAAACATTTTAACACATTTATCATTACAACACTCTTTTGACATCCATGTAGTGTGGTTATTCTCATTTTACAGATAAGAAACAGAGAACATAGAGAATAATAAGAATAGCAGCAGTGTCAACATTCAGATACCTAATTTAGCTATCTAGTATTCCTAAGTTTTGCCTTTATTCAGAGAAAGGAAATGAAATTCCTCAAGGTGATTCAGAGGAACCGTTTTAGATTGTTATTCTGAGCTATACTTTTGGAAAGCCTCGTTGTTTTGAGCTATCCTTTTTGGAAGGCCTACCTTTATGTAGGTTTCCAAAGGGCTGAAACTGACTAAGAGCAAGAAAGAAAAGGTTGCTGAATCTCAGAGGATGATCATACAATCTGTTTATTCCATATCCACTGTTTCAACGGGTTTTGCTCTGCTCTGGTGGTCTGCATCAGTAACCCCATATAGGATAGAGTCAACTTCATGGAGCTTCCAAATTTCTGTTTTTGCTTCATCTCCATCAATAGTGTTTTGAACCCTCATATTTTAAGGCCCAGTTTAAATTGTGTAATGCAGAAAGCTCTGTGTGTGCTGTATAACAACACAGATGTTGTTTCCTGCCTCTTTTGAAATTGTCTGTCACTCAGTTTGTAGCCAGATCTGAAGACAATACTGTATGTAATGATGATAAGCTGGTTTTTATACTACATTTTCTCCCTTTACATGTATTTGAAATCAGGAACACCTATGTGTGATAATTAAGAAGCTTCTTCTACTAAAAAAATATTAAAAAAAAATCAAATATTTTAAAGAGAATCTACTTCATCATGCAAAATCTGCTTTATGGTGTAAACAGCATGAAGAATCTACCACACTTAGATCTTTTGTCCTAATGACAAATTTACATTTCAGCTTTCCATCACTGAGATAAATAAGAATACCCCCAAAAAACAGTGTATATTAAAGGAGGTATTTAAAATACCATTCATTTTTAAAAAGTAACAGCAGTAGTGTTTTAAGACAGACAAATAAAACAAAAGGGAAATGAAGAGATGATAAAAATGTGATATTAAGGAGAGAAATAAGAAGCAGAAAGTCAGATAAATAATTTTTGGGGTGAAACTCAGTGAAACAAAGTCTGCCTGAGATTTTCTTTTCCACTAAGAAAGAAGAGTATTCATCCACCTACATGTGCAAGAGCCAAAGAAAATATAAGGAGGCATGCCAGGTATACATCATGCTAGCAAGATGCAGATAAGATTGGGAAGGAGTACAAATTCTACTTTTGCAAAGAGGAATATGATGAGATGCAACAAAACAGATCCTCCTCAGAAAAGTAAGAAGCATTATATCCTTATGAATCTTAGTCTAGCCAGGTGACAGCATGGATTCAAGGAAAAAATCAAATCCTCTCCTTTGTATGATTACTCTACCTAGCTTTCCCTAATTCAGTTTAAGATGAAATGCAGGAGGTAAATGAACTGAGACACCTGAACAACTACATGAAAAAAATAAGCTTGGTTTTGTTGTGAAATCATGGAAATCCATCAAACTGGATCACTAACCTGGTCAGATATAATCAAATATAATCAGGAAGGGCTATAAAATTCTCTAAGAGATGATGGATTTGTTGAAAGAATGAAGATGTAACTAGATTAACAGCATTGTAACTTCTCAGATTTGAGAAGATCTTTGTAATTAGGTGCAACTATGTTAAAATTCCTGCCATTCCTCAAGAAATTATTGCTTCTTTCTCAGCTAAGATACCACATCTCTAGTAGACTGGTGTTAGAATAGCAGCAGATGGAAATATAGTGCTGTGATCAAATGATTTGATGTTTTCTTTTTAGCAGTGAACACAAGAGAAGTATTTGAGGTAAATATTTTCTTTCTTCTTTATAGGCTCATTTAGGACCAAAGTTGTTTAGAATAACTGTGAAAAATTCATTGGTTTGATCAGTGGCAAATCAACTTGCAGATGTATCCTGATACATCTATAAGAAGATGCTATAAGCATACCCTCAGGTTGGCTCAAGCTTTATGGCTTTTTATGATTGATGTAAACTTATGTGACAGGTGTAATGTGTTGTACATAATGGGACTCAGTGAATCTTTTGGGTATTTTGTGACTTGGTAACTTTCTGTTCATAGAAATTAATTTTGCGTGTGGAGTTCAGTCTCTGTAAAGCTAACATCAACGGAGGTAGAACAGGGACTCCAAAAGTCTCTGAATTCACCATTTCCCTGAATGCAAATCAGATGACTATTTAATTTATCTTCATTCATATGGAAAAAAGGTGGAAGAGAAGGGTTATGTTTTTAAACAAAGAGCTAGAAGATACCAGCATTTTTAAATAAAGAGTAGAAGATACCAGCAGGTGCACCACAAAACCAATGTAAAATTAAATGAAATACAAGCCAATGACAGAATGTTGTAATTGTCAAGGTTCCTAAAACCTCCTGTTTTGTCTCCTCATATTTTCTTTTTTTTTTTTTTTTTTCATTTTTGTCTGCCTTCAGCAGATAACAAAATTGCAAATTAAACCCCTTAGCAGCTGATGTTTACAGACTTTATTATCAAGCTCATAGTAAGGGTCCCATACAAACACTTTGCTGCAATACCAATTTAGAATTGCAATTCCTCTTTTAGAATACATTCAGGCAATTAACAGACCAAAGATCATATGAGAAGCCTGCAATCTTAATGGAAGAATTTTCTGGGTTTTATTACAGGACTGCAATGTATTGTTTTTAATTATTTGCTAAAAATAAATTACTTTTGTTCATTTTTTTCTGCAACTGTAGTTTATTCAGCAACACTACCACCATGTTTTTCATGTTCTTAAAGTTACAGTTCTGTTTCCCTACTTGTAAGGGATTGTAGTCCACTCTTTGTGTCACCAAATAAATTTCAGGACATTAGCAAAGGCTCAGTGTCAACAGAAGTGTCCCAATTTATCTCATATCATTTGAGTGGATGTATGAATGATTTGCTCCAATAGCTTGAGAATCTAAAAGGAATATGCAAGCAGGCCTTGGATCAAGGCTGTCACAGGTGAGGAAGTGTTAGCTTGAGATGTGGTCCTACAATAACAGTGCTTCTCTGCTTTGGCATAAATGATGTGCTTGTACTCCCCTAACATTTTACTGTCTTTGGAATTGGGCTTTGAGCTTATCTTGATATTTATCTTGACAGACAAATGAGGATGTAGGTCAGTGTTAGGCATTGCTATCTCTTTCTGACTTGAGTCATGAGTCAGAGTGAGGTATGGAGCAAATACTTTGAGTCTGGAAGCATTTGTGCAGCATGTGACTAGGAGACTCCCCTGAAAGCCCAAAGCAAAAATGTGTTGTGAGTGCTGACAGGTTGGCAGCTTACTGGTAGAGGCTGAGGAATAGAGAATCCTGGAGAAATGAAATAACACCTCAGCAGAAAGCAAGAAAAACCCACTTCAGAATGACTGTTCGTGAAATTCAGCTCTGGATATTCAGCTCTCTTGTATTTTGGGTTTAATGTGAAAGTGTCAAAGCTTCTCATAGAGTCACTGATGGATCATTTGCTTCATACTCAATAGATCCCACTGGGCTGTCAGGCTGATACTACAGTAGATAGCAAGAGGCTGACATGCAAATCATTATCTTGGCTCCATTAACTGGACTGATGAGAAGAGAGAATCAGGAAGGTAAATGTGCAAGAACTCTTGGGTTGAGATAAAGACAGCTTAGTAGGAAAAGCAAAAGCCATGCACTCAGGCAAAGCAAACCAAAGAATACATTGACTGCTTCCCATCTGCAGGCAGGTGTTCAGCCACCTCCAGGAAAGCAGGGCTCATCACATGTAATGGTTCCTTTGGAAGACATATGCCATCCCTCCAAATGTCCTCACCTTCCTTCCTCTTTAACCCAGCTGTTATTGTTGAGCATGATGCCATGTGTTGTGGGACATCCCTTTGGCCAACCTGGGTCAGTTCCTGGCTGTGTCCCCTCCCAGTTCCTTGTGCACCCCCAGGTACCTCGCTGGCAGGGCACCACCAGGAGCTGAGCAGTCCTTGGGTCCTTTGCAACAGTCCTCTGCTCCATACCTTGGGTATGAACCCTGCTTTGCAACAACTAAAATAG